AGCAAGTCAGAGCATTGAACCTGACTTAGATGTGTGACCTTTGTTGGTAGCTCTAAAAGGTTGTGTCTGTTAAGTGGGCTCGTGACCCTTTCGGGGAGCTTGAGCCCATGCCATCATAGATCACGTGAGATCTCTAGGGGTTTCTGCAGGAACCACGGGAACCTTTCCATCAGCCTGGAAGCCCGTTGACGTGTGCCTCATCTACGAAGCTTCCTGATCACTCCGAATCTCTAACTGCTGTCCGTTTTTTCTTGTATCCTTTCCCTTCATCATCCTCTTCCCGGTAGATCTCGCTATTACTGGTCTTACGTATAGACTCGAGCCCCTCATCATCCCCGTGGGCCAATTTGACTATTATAAAGCTCCGTTGAAGCTGTCGCCTCATCCCTCAGCGATAGCATAATCCGTTAGACATGGTTGGACTCGCTTCGGCTGCTGGCCTCGTCGGCTTCCTTTCTGAGCCAGATCCTGAGCTGCGGGTTTTTGCCTTGAAGACCTTAGACTCTCAGATTGATTTGCTCTGGACAGAAGTGGTGGATGCTGTCCCGCAAATGTATGGCTTCCCTCCGAGCTTATGACATCTCTTCCATCATGGCAGGCCTTCGGTCTTGGGCGTGATTTTATCCATACCATCAAACAAATTCCTTCCAGGGAGTCCGCGCTAACATGTTACATTTAGAGAGGCTCTTTACGAAGATGAGACTTTTCCAGAACGCGAGCTCGCTGCTCTTGTCGCCGCTAAAGTTTACTATCACCTCCAAGAATATAATGAGAGTATGGTATTTGCACTCGGTGCGGGGAAGCTTTTCAAGTTAGACAACGGAGGCGAATTCGAAGAAACGATTATTGGTATGTTTGTATGCTCCTCGGAAGATACACGGAGGGCCGCCCTCTAACGTGATATGACACACAGCTAAATGCGTTGATACTTTCATCTCCCTCTCTGCTGCTCAAAGACCTGCCGCTGGTGACCAGCCGGCTAATCTCAATACTGCCTTCCCCACTTCCAGCGATGGTGCTACAAGCACCTCTGCTAGTTTGACGTCCCCGATCACTCCGTTTTCGCAGTCTGCCTTACCATCGAAGTCGCTCCTTTCTCGACAAGAAGTACCAGGTATTGATGCAACTTACCCCGGTGGCGATGATGCCAGCGTGAACCAGGTTGAAACGCCACTTGTCCTGAAGAGAGGTGTTCAGGGCCAGTTACAGGCCGTTGTGGAACGTCTGTTTGAGCAATGCTTCATCCAAAAGCGATATCGCCAGGTGATCGGAATTGCCATCGAAGCAAAGAGCTTGGACGTGCTTCGGAAAACCATCATTCGGGCAAGTGAAGACGAGAAGAAACAGAACGGCGAGTCTCGAAGGAGTGAAGAACTGATGGAATACGTACTGGATATCTGCATGGGTATTGTACAGGAGCGTGCATTCCGTCACGAGGTACGTCTTTTGTCCGCGTTACAGGGACTCCGGAACTAATCTACTTTCCAGATTCTCAAACTCATTCTTGACCTCTTGAATGAGATCCCTAATCCCGATTATTTCTCGATAGCGAAGTGCGTCGTATACCTCAACGAACACTCTATGGCATCTGTCATTCTCCGCCAGTTAGTGGAGAAAGGCGATGCACGGTCCCTTGCAGTGGCATATCAAATTTCATTTGATCTTTACGATAACAGCACACAAGAATTCCTTCAAAAAGTCCGTCAGGAAATTGCCGAGTTGGTACCAGAAGTGGAGGTTGAAGAACAGCAAGACACAGCGGAAAGTGACCGGGAGCCGAAGGAGTCTGATCCTTTATTGGAAGACCAGTCCAGCTCGTCACAGCCCAGGTCTATCGGGGCCAACGATGACAAGTCGAAGCTATCCTCTGAATCACGGTCGGCGTTTAAGAACATCCTCGATATCCTTGACGGCATTAAGAGTATCCAACTAAACTTGGAGTTTCTGTACCGAAGCAACAAGGCTGATATCGCTATCCTTAACAAAGTTCGGGATAGCCTGGAAGCTCGGAATTCTATCTTCCACACCGCTGTCACACTCTCCAATGCTTTTATGCATGCGGGTACCACACACGACAAGTTTTTCCGGGACAATTTAGAATGGTTAGGAAAGGCTGTCAACTGGTCCAAGTTCACCGCTACGGCTGCTCTTGGTGTCATCCATCGTGGTAACTTGAGCCAGGGCCAAAAGCTCCTGCAGCCGTACCTTCCAAGGGAGCATATTGCCGGTGTTGGAGGATCAGGCTCAGTCTACAGCCAAGGAGGCTCGTTGTACGCCTTTGGTTTGATATATGCTAACCATGGCGGTATGGCTGTTGACCTTATTCGCGACCACTTCAAGAAGGCGACCGAGGAGGTTGTTCAGCATGGTGGAGCTTTAGGTCTAGGTGTCGCCGGCATGGCAACTGGCGATGAGGGTATCTACGATGATTTGCGAACCGTCCTGTATTCTGATTCAGCCATCAACGGTGAAGCTGTTGGTTTGGCCATGGGTTTGGTCATGCTGGGAACAGGTAACATGAGAGCTCTCGAGGATATGATTCAGTATGCCCATGAGACACAACACGAGAAGATCGTCCGCGGTCTGGCTATGGGTATGGCTCTGATCATGTACTCCCGCCAAGAGGCTGCTGATGAGCTGATCAATGGCCTTTTGGGCGACCCTGATCCCACTCTCCGTTACGGTGGTATCATGACTATTGCTCTCGCCTATTGTGGCACCAGTAGCAACAAGGCTGTCCGTAAGCTCCTCCATGTTGCTGTTAGCGATGTCAACGATGATGTGCGACGGATTGCAGTCCTGAGCTTGGGCTTTATCCTGTTCAGAAAGTACCAGAGCGTGCCTCGTATGGTTGAGCTCCTTTCGGAGTCCTATAATCCTCACGTACGGTATGGTGCTGCCATGGCACTCGGTATCTCATGTGCTGGAACGGGCTTGGATGAGGCCATCGACCTGCTTGAGCCGATGCTCAAAGATTCCACGGACTTTGTGAGACAGGGAGCTCTAATCTCTCTGGCCATGGTGTTGGTGCAGCAGAACGAGGCCATGAACCCCCGAGTCAGCACCCTTCGCAAAGTCATGATGAAGATGATTGGAGATAGACACGAGGATGCTATGGCTAAGTTTGGTTGCGCCGTCGCCCTGGGTATCATAGATGCTGGTGGCCGGAATTGCACTATTAGCCTTCAGACACAGACTGGCAATCTCAATATGCCTGGAATCGTCGGTGCTGCTGTATTTACGCAGTACTGGTACTGGTTCCCTCTTACCCATTTCTTGTCGCTCAGCTTCGCTCCCACTTCTGTGATCGGCGTGGACCAGAAGCTTGAAGTTCCTTTCTTCAAGTTCCACAGTAATACTCGGCCGAGCCTGTTTGACTATCCTCCCGAACAACAGGTCAAAACCGAGGAAGCTCCTGAGAAAGTCAAAACTGCCGTGTTGTCCACCACCGCCCAGGCTAAGCGTCGTGCACAGCGCCGAGAGAAGCAGCAACGACGAGAGAGCATGGATATTGATCAGACACCTACCACACCTAAGGTTTCGGATCAAATGCCAGATAGAATGGAAACGGACGACACCGCCAAGGTGGAGGATGACACTAAGGAAGGGGAGAAAGAGTCTGGAGAGGGCCAAAGAAAGAAGGTGGAACGGGAACGGGTTGGATATGAGCTCGAGAACATGTCAAGAGTCCTCCCCGCTCAACTGAAGTACCTCACATTCCCTGATCCACGGTACGAGCCGGTCAAACGGGTACGTATCTCTTGCATTCAGTCCTTGTGTCTAGATTGATCAGATATACTAACTGCGCAACAATAGCCTACCGGTGGAGTGGTTGTCGTGCTGGATAATAAACCAGAGGAACCACGGGAGACGATTGAGATGAAAGCAAGTAAGGAGGTCAGGCAACCTACGGCGGCGGCAGAGTCTCTGCAAGACCGACTGCAAGCTGCCATGGGCGCCGCGGCCCTCCAAACCCCTCAACGGGGCTCGAGCCGCTTGGCTGAGGCAGCTGCAGGAGCCGCTGCTGCTGCGGGTGTTTTGACAGCTGTTGATGAGGATGACGAGGATGACGAGGAGGCTCCTGTCCCCGAGGAGTTTGAGTATGAAACCGACGGTGATGAGGACTAAGCGGATGGTCACATCCGTGATCTTTGCACTGGTTGTATTTCTAGATTAATTATGGATCTATGTCTTATTGAAATGACAGCAGTGTTGCTGCCTTACTTCCTTAAATATCTACTTGCGAATGCGTTTGTTATGTGGGGCCGGTGAAATACATAGCATTGCATGTTTATATCAGTTTCTATTTTCCCACCGAAGCTATCCACCTATTAGTATCTACTAGTCTCCAGAAGACTCGTAGATGTGTAAATGGATTAGTTAAGCCTGAGGGGTGACTATTCCATGAGAATGTTCGATCAGTAGGTCCAAGAGGCATGGTGAACTGGATTCCATGTAAATATCATTATCCAATATACACTTTAACTGACAATTTGGGAAAAGCATCTCATGATCTTTGGTCGCCCTTCATTGATGCCGTACATAATAAGGACTCGAATGCTAGTCCGAACGAGTCCAGACGGTGCTCAGCCAGACTATATATGGGTTTACTTGAAATATATATACAGAGCGAACTGGCACTTTCTGAGAAGACCACTTGAGCCTCAAAAGGTTGCTTTCATCGGACAAATTACTACTCAACTATCACTGTCGTTGCTATTGTCCGACTCGTCCTGGCAATCCAAGCTTCTCTCTGTCGCGTTAATAGCGACCACCACAGCGACGAGGAACGCTATGGGTATACGCCAGCCCGTGGCGCATGAAACTCCAGGGAATCGGCTCAAGAGACACACAGGGAGGGGATGTGTGGCAGAGAAGAATCGTGGTTACATCGCTGTAGGGGTGTAGCTTGGCTCTATGACCGCTTTTGAATAGGTTATAGGGAGCCCCATACAAAGCACCGTTCCTATCCTTCCCCGATGATTATTTCTTTCGCGACCTCAGCCCGCAAAGATCTTTAATTTCTGATCCCAGCCCCCTGTTGCGATCACGCAGCGCATCTGGACATTGGCAGGGTTTTCACCACCAGCCCCATTCTTATCATTTCCTTCTCCCTCCGCTGCGCCGTCTCCGCCGGGTACATTCTTGGCAACTCCTGGAGCCCATCGCAGGGAGGTGACGAAGCTTTCGTGGGCGTCGAGCGTCTTGACGCACTTTCCTTGTTGGTTCAAGTCCCAGCATCTTAAGGTCTTGTCGTCCGATACTGAAAGGAGGTATTTTCCTGCCGGGTGGAACACCAGCGCCTGAACCCAGCTATCATGGCCCACTAACGTCATAAGACACATCCCGCGGCTGTCCCATATCTTAATAGTGTTGTCTCGTGACCCGGTCGCCATGAAATCAGCTCCGTTTGTAGAAGAAGGGCGTTTCCCTAGTCCGGCCAAGGGTGCCAGGAACTGGTATGACGTAGGCGGGGCAAAAGCGCAGCATTCAATGAAATTCTCGTGACCAAGCATCGTTCGTTTATGTTCTATATTCGATACAGTAGAGATATCCCATAAACGGGCGGTCATGTCTTGTCCCGTGGAGAAAAGAAACCTCCCGTCAAACGAGATGCTAACATCCCGCACCCAGTCAGTATGGCCGTTTATTGTCTTCACACAATATCCGGTTGTGACATCCCAGATTCTCATATCGTTGTCTCTGCTTGCGCTCACCAGCAGATTTCTAGATGGTATAAAACGAACCGCGCTGACGATGTGATCGTGGCCTTGCAGGGTCCGGATATTCTTATAATTGTCTGTCGGTTTCCATAACTTAATAGATAGGTCGGAGCTGCAGGAAGCCAGAAGGACATTATCCCGCGGCCCGCCGTAATCAACATCCCGGACTGCTCTTGTATGGCCCTTAAGCGTCAGTTCAAGCTCCCCGAGCTCCCAGTCCCATATCTTTATCGTGCAATCGTCGGAGCCGGAGGCAATGGAGGAAAATGTCGGGTGGAAGGCAACACAATTTACTTTATCTCGATGCGATTCTAGTGAATAGCGAACCGTACTCGGAAGCCAAGAGGCTGGATCTTGGTTTCGCTTTAAACGGGAGGCGGGTGTGGAGTTATCGAGTTCGGATTGAAGCGCCGCATTTCTCGACTCAAGATCCATTATCTGTCGTGAAATGAAGATTAGATGTCACCGCGCCGCTAGTGAGTAATACGGTGGACGAAACAGAGGATCTGAAGCGCAGACATGCCTTTTTCTGCAAGCGGGCAATGCTTGTCCATTTTTTCTCCAGCATCCCTTCGTACCTTTTCGCTGTAGTTGGATCAAACGCATCTTCGCTGAGGTTCACTTCTCTCCGGAGTGCGGCCGCGGTGTCTGGTAGGTCGCTCGCCACGAGGTATGCTATCATTGACTTGTGCCTATACGCGTATTTAGCTTTCGCCAGCGACTAGCTCGCATGGGCCAGACTCACAGCTCCTCGGCTTGCCGATTAGTTAGTAAGGGAGGCATAGCGATGCGGGGTCGTATGAGAGACCCGACGGGAATGCGCTGTCCTGCCAAAAATGTGGCGACCTAACGGAATGTTCGACCTGCAGTACTGGAATAGGGAAATCGACGATAATGACGACTTAAAGGAGTAGTATTTATCGGTTGATAAGGATCGGTGAGGTCTCCAGGCCTTGGCTTGTCAATAGAGGCGTGCCCGGATAAACATATTTCCTATTCTTATCATCCAAAAGCTCTCTCTTCGAGGACAACAAACATCAGAGATGTTGGTTAGACTTGTCTGTCACCCACAGAACTGCCCGAATGGCGACGCGGCGGCACCCGCTGCCCCAGAAACCCTAATTGGCTCGGGCGGGATGGAAATAAATCCGAGTCCGAATCCGGTAGTTTATCGATATCGAGTTGACACAGCGAAGTCGCAGGACTGACCGTTGGCGATATAAAATGTGGATATGTTGTGAGGACATCTTCCCACGAGCTCATTAGCTCTATAGCTGAACTAGGGGTGGTCCAAGTCAAATTCCCTTTCTCGGGGGACAAATGAGCCGCTGTTGATATGACTCTCGGGCGTGTTTACTCCCTGCTAGTTACGGATATATCACGGGATTCGATGACGGCGCTACGGCAACAGATCAGGGGTTCACGAATCTCTGGACACTCTCGGCACCGGTTCATATATCTTTGTCGATGTCTCTAGCTGCACACACACCCACATGCAGAGATCTTCTTAACATGTACTTGGTGTTGAACCCCGATACCTGACCTGGTTCGGCTAATGTACAGACTCTAGCACCAAATATCAATATCTTTGGCCTTCTGCCCTACATCTCGTCTGTACAATTGACTAATACATACAAAGGCAGCCCTGGCCCTAGGTCTCGGACACGCGAAACAGTTGTCTAGTGACATTATAACACGCTACCAAAATGATGTCATTGACGAAGTTGTGCAATATGAGCCAGGGAGGTGCCGATTTTTCTGCATTTGCAGCCCATCAGAAAGGAAAAGCCGAGTGGAAGAGCAGGTCTGTTTTCAAGGTGAGTAGTAAGAAGTATAGGCTATACTCTAGGGAGTATATACTGCGATGGACCCGTGATGGACACGCAGTCCACTATGATTGAGAGACACTATACCCTTTATAGTAACTCACTGGGAGCACCGGCCATTTAGCAGTGTAGGAAGTACGGAGTATCTCTTTCTTAGTGCCGGCAACAAATCACGGAGATACGGCACGATACTACGATAGACAGGGGCTGGTAGTGTTGAAATTTGGCTGAACCCATGGTTTCACATGTCGAGGTCCCATTTCTGATTAGTTTCCCGACCTTGTAAATGTAAAAAGAGTCTCCAAATGTCTGGGGCAGATGGACGTCACGTGGATAATCTCTCGGCAGCCTCGGCACTTGCTCGATGTGGACAGACAGAGCATGACGCAGAAAGACACCGATGGGCCAATCACCGAAGGATTAACAGGCCAGCAAATGACCTGCAGAATGCTTACCTCAGCGGCGACACTGGCCGAGGTGAAGAATCGATGACCCTGATTGGACAGCACGTTGGTCCTCACTGATCGGACATGTGAAAGGCCTCTCAACAGCTGCCAGTGGATTAAAAAATAAAAAAAGTGACCACCTGCTATCCAAAACATTTCGCTGGCTACCGAGGACGCTTGTGTGTTGATCGCTGAACATTTTAGGCTTTTGTCCGAGTGCCTTACCTCCACTGCTTATTTTCCTTCATCCCAACTGGTCCTTGCGACAGTTCCCCGTGACGGAGACCTCCGTGTCATCCATATATCTATCCACCCTCTTCCCTCCGTCTTACCCCAGATTCTCTTCTCCATACCCCTCTGTGTTTTAGTGCCGATTACTCCAAGAATCGTATCGTCGCTGCACACACTGCTGGCCCTCGAGAGCTCGTAATCTCTCCCCCCCATACTTCTTCTGGTCATATATTGTTCGTTCCATTCTCACACACGATCATGTCCAAAACTTTCTCAAAGGAAGACGTCGCATCGCATAACAAGCCAGATAACCTCTGGGTTGTTATCGATGAAGATGTTTATGACTTGACCAAGTTTCAGGATGAGCACCCTGGTATGTTTGAACAGTTCCGTGGATCGTTACATGTATTCACGCGATGCTAACGTCACTCTGCATAGGTGGAAAAAAGAGTACGTCCTAATACCTACTATCCTCGATGGGGGTATCGATGTTAATTATGCACATTTAGTTCTTTCGCGGGTCGGAGGAAAGGATGCTTCGAAGCAGTTCTGGAAGTATCACAACGAAGGAATTCTCAAGAAGTACAAGGGCAAGCTGCAGGTTGGTTCCTTGAACACAAAGGCCGCGGCTGCACCGGCGCCGGAACCAGCAGCAGCAACCAAGGAAGCCCCCAAGCCTAAGCAGGCAGCTCCAGTGGACGTTTCGGCCCAGTCGTCCGAGCCTCAAGACCCTTATGGTGACTTGATTCCCTTTGCCGATCCTTCATGGTATCAAGGCGTAAGTTTGCCTGGGGCACATAACTCGGGAAACTACAGGCTAACCACCGATTTCCCGACAGTACTCCTCTCCATACTTCAACCAGACTCACGCAGCTCTCCGCGATGAAGTTCGCCAATGGGTTGAGTCTGAGATTGAACCCTACGTGACCGAATGGGATGAGGCAAAGAATGTTCCCGATCGTATTTACAAGCAGATGGGTGAGCGGGGCTACCTTGCAGGTCTCTTGGGTGTCAAATACCCTGTCAACCACACGGACAACCGTGTCCAGTCTGTCGCCCCTGAAAATTGGGACTTGTTCCACGAGATGCTCCTTACCGACGAGCTGTCTCGCGCAGGTAGTGGTGGTCTTGTCTGGAACTTGATCGGTGGCTACGGTATCGGTTGCCCCCCACTAGTCAAATACGGCAAGAAGCCTCTTGTTGACAGAATCCTCCCCGGCATTTTGAACGGCGATAAGCGTATCTGTCTTGCTATTACCGAGCCAGATGCTGGAAGCGATGTTGCTAACCTTACCTGTGAGGCTAAGCTCACCCCTGATGGCAAGCACTACATTGTCAACGGCGAGAAGAAGTGGATTACCAACGGTGTCTATGCCGATTACTTCACTACCGCTGTTCGTACGGGCGGGCCCGGTATGAATGGTATCAGCGTCCTTCTCATTGAGAGAGAGCACGGTGGAGTCAGCACGAGGCGCATGGACTGCCAGGGTGTCTGGAGCAGCGGCACGACTTATGTCACCTTTGAGGATGTTAAGGTGCCGGTGGAAAACCTCATTGGAAAGGAAAACCAGGGTTTCAAGGGTAGGCCTCCTAGCGCTGTTGCTTTTCTTTCTACAGTTACTAACCGATTGTGTAGTCATCATGACCAACTTTAACCACGAGCGCATTGGAATTGTCATTCAGTGTGTCCGATTTGCTCGTGTGTGCTACGAGGAAGCGATGAAGTATGCCCACAAGCGTAAGACCTTTGGCAAGAGACTCATCGATCACCCTGTTATCCGGATGAAGCTCGCACACATGGCCCGTCAGATTGAAGCGACGTACAACTGGCTGGAAAACATCATCTATCAATGTCAGTCCATGGAGGAGACTGAAGCGATGCTCAAGCTGGGCGGTGCAATCGCAAGTCTCAAGGCTCAGTCAACGACTATCTTCGAGTTCTGCGCTCGTGAGGCTAGTCAGATCTTTGGTGGTCTGAGCTACAGCCGCGGCGGCCAGGGTGGTAAGGTGGAGCGGCTATACCGTGATGTTCGTGCCTACGCTATCCCTGGTGGAAGTGAGGAGATCATGCTGGACCTGAGTATGCGTCAGAGTCTACGTGTGCACAAGATGTTTGGCATGAAGTTGTAAATGAGCGCACTTGGTTTTCTTCTCGTATATTTATTCCCCCTCTTCGTCCTTGATGTTGTTTGGATATAACCTTGGTTTTGGGCATATAGAGCTTTTTATATCCGGCTCACCCGGCAGTTTAGTGATCTCTTAGGTTCAATTCACTGTACTATATCTTGCTTGGACCACTTTTCTAAAGAGTAGCATGATCCCACCCAAAAATACGAAAGGCCACCTGGCCTTGAAATACTTGTAGATTGAGCTCTAGTGTATGGTCTTGGGTATTCCTGACATGGGCCTTGATCGTTCATCCTGGTTACTAGAGCGATACGTACAAAGCTGCGGCATGAACTGGCAGAAGCACTTTTATCTCTGTTTGGTAGGCATATGCAAGAAATATTTAAGACGATATCGGCGTGTGCTCTCAGCAGCTTAAGTGCAGTGGTCAGGATGTGAAAGGACTAGACGATAGCATAGACTGACCAACTTAGCATAATCCAGGAGGTCTTGTATGGGCTGGTTGCAGATAGCACTATATATTAGTGGTTCCCTGTTCAAGATCTGCTCAGTATAAAATCTTCGCAGGTAACAACATTCACGTTTTAAGGTTCCCAGTCTATTTAGCCCGTGGCGAATGGCCGGGGAGTCTCTAAAGATTATATCGAACAAGAATGAATCTGCATGGGAAAAGTTGAAAAACGAGAGAAACCGTAGCTACAAAAGAGATCTAGAGCGAATGATGCTCATTGGCTCAATCAGAGCACTAGGAAGAACTCCGTCGCCGCAGTTGAGCCAATTGCGCAACCCATGGATTCGTCTTCAACAAGCCTCCGACAATCTTATAAAGACCACTGATCTTGCGCCACCTCCCACTTCTTCTGTTACAGCTTGCTACCCTGGTGGGCTTCATCTTCTTGTGGTCTGGTGTGGGTAGTTTCCATCCTTTTTTCTCTCGCCCTCTCACCTCCGATTGACTCGTGCCGTGATCGCGGACTCGGCGAAGGATACGCCGCCCGCCTGGCTGGCCGAAGCAACAGCAAGGCTGTTTGATACCCATTTTTCGTCCTGGAGTTCTTCGTGAATCGTGGAACCTCAGCGATTCCCTATCCCGATTACATAATAAGTATTGCGCCCTTTCGTCTTACCTTGGATTCGACGGTGTTCTCGGTTTTCTACGCCTTATCCGCGATCTCGATTTCTCCCGAACTGTATGCTCGAAAGCTCAAAGTGATCTAACTGTGACTTCCTTCGCGCCACTAGGTCGTTCATAATCATTATACGGCCCTCTTGCGACTCATATCTCAACCACTTAGTCCGAAAATACCCCGAACCAAGCCCCAGTTCGAAACCACTTTATTAACACTCCACGCAATATGTCACGAAACATGTTGGATCACGACTTCGGTTCTGAAGAAGAAGACGATGACTTCAACCCCGCCCCCGCATACGATTCAGACAATGAAGACGCCAGGGTCAGTACTACAGATACCTTAGTCGATAGTAGCTGGTGGTGCTAACACGTATGGGGGTTATAGCCGACGCATCAAGATCGGGACGATGATGACGATGAAGAAGATGTAAAGCCTACACGACGGGTGGAACGTCGAGTCGGTAGCGAGGAGGCTGAAGATAACGACGATGCCGACGGGCATGACGACGAGGAAGATGAGGAGAACGATGATGACGAGGAGGAGGAAGAGGAGGAAGATGACGATGAAGATGAAGGGGGTGCCGTGTCTGTGAGTGCTAGCACCATCTGGGCTGCTCCTGATTCCATCGTAGCCAATACTGACCATCGTTCTTATTAATAGCGACCCAAAAAGCGCAGAAAGAGAGCGGGTGTGCACACTTTCTTCGAGGAAGAGGCCGGCGTCGATGAAGATGAAGATGAGGCCGAAGATGAAGAGGATGAAATGGCCGAACTTGGTGGGGAAATGCATCCAGATGATATGGATGCGCTGCCTGTCGGCGCTGAGACCGACGACCGTCGCCACCGACAGCTCGATCGCCAGCGCGAGCTTGAAGCCAGCATGGATGCCGAGAAACAAGCGCAGTTGCTCAAAGAACGTTACGGACGGAACCGTGCTGCAGCCTCCGATGCAGTCGTTGTACCGAAGCGTCTACTACTTCCTAGTGTCGAGGATCCTAGCATCTGGGGTGTCCGTTGTAAGCCCGGCAAAGAAAGGGAGGTTATTTTCGCCATCCAGAAACGTATGGAAGAGCGACCCATGGGCTCTCGCAACCCTATGAAAGTCATTTCTGCCTTTGAGCGTGGAGGAGCTATGAGTGGGTACATCTATGTTGAAGCCCGCAGGCAAGCGGACGTCATGGATGCATTGCAAGATATGTCCAACGTCTACCCACGGACGAAGATGATTCTAGTTCCTGTGCGAGAAATGCCGGACCTTCTCCGGGTGCAAAAGTCTGAAGAACTCTTGCCCGGTGGCTGGGTTCGTATCAAACGTGGCAAGTATCAAAACGATCTGGCCCAGATTGAAGAAGTTGAAACCAACGGTCTCGCTGTGACTGTTCGCTTGGTTCCGCGTCTAGACTATGGCTTGAACGAGGATACCGGTGCGCCTTTTATGGATCCCAAGAGGAAGCGTCCTGGCATGAACCCCGCGGTGGCCCGGCCGCCTCAACGTCTGTTCAGTGAAGCTGAAGCTAAAAAGAAACACGGAAAATATCTTTCGGCCACGTCAGGATTGGGTGGAAAATCCTGGAGTTATCTAGGAGAGACCTACATCGACGGTTTCTTAATCAAGGACATGAAGGTACAACATTTAATCACGAAGAATGTGAGCCCGCGGCTTGAGGAGGTTACCATGTTTGCTCGAGGCTCAGAGGACGGCACTGCCAATCTAGATCTTGCGTCTCTCGCGGAAACACTCAAGAATTCCACGGCTGAAGACTCTTACCTCCCAGGGGATCCGGTTGAAGTGTTCCGTGGTGAACAGCAAGGCTTGATCGGTCGCACTACTTCTACTCGCGGTGATATCGTTACTTTACAAGTTACCGAAGGTGACCTTGCAGGACAACACATTGATGCCCCTGTTAAATCTCTCCGTAAACGCTTCAGGGAGGGTGATCACGTCAAGGTCATCGGTGGTAGCAGATATCAAGATGAGCTGGGCATGGTGGTCCAAGTTAAGGACGACACCGTAACGTTACTTAGCGATATGAGCATGCAGGAGATCACTGTGTTCAGCAAGGATCTTCGGCTGTCTGCCGAAACAGGTGTTGACGGAAAGCTTGGAATGTTCGACGTACATGACCTTGTACAGCTAGAGTGAGTTACTCGGCCCTATACTCATTGCTTGTTCCTTTATCTGACTTCTTAATAGTGCCGCTACTGTTGCTTGTATCGTCAAGGTTGATCGAGAGTCCTTGCGGGTTTTGGATCAAAACGGTTCGATTCGCACTATCCTCCCTACTCAAGTAACAAATAAGATCACACCGCGTCGGGATGCAGTTGCTACGGATCGGAATGGTGCGGAGATTAGACATGGAGATACCGTTCGCGAAGTATACGGTGAACAAAGGAACGGCGTGATCCTCCACATTCACCGTTCATTCCTGTTCTTGCATAACAAGGCTCAGGCTGAGAATTCCGGTATTACTGTCGTGCGTACAACCAACGTTGTAACAGTATCCGCTAAGGGAGGCCGGTCTACGGGCCCTGACCTTACTAAGATGAACCCGGCTCTGATGAGTCGTGGCGCACCTGGCAGCATGATGGGTCCCCCGAAGAGCTTCGGTCGCGACCGGATGATCGGAAAGACAGTCATGGTCCGAAAGGGGCCCTTCAAAGGTCTTGTGGGTATTGTCAAAGATGCGGGAGATGTGCAGGCACGTGTGGAGCTCCATTCCAAGAACAAGCTGGTGTCGATTCCCAAGGAGCTCCTCGTTGTCAAAGACCCCGTAACGGGCCAAACAATCGAAATGGGCCGCGGCAGAGGAGGACCACGCGTCCCTTCAGCAGCTCCACCATCAAACTGGCAGGGTGGCCGCACACCGATGGCAGCTGCAGATTCATCCAGGACACCTGCCTGGGGCGGTGCATCCTCCGCGAGGAGTAAGTCTTTCCATGTGTTATGTCTCTGGTCTACGATGCTAACAAAGCGCTTCAGCACCTGCTTGGGCTGGCGTGGGCGGTTCTCGCACACCAGCATGGAAGAACGATGGATCCCGTACATCGAACCCCTACGATGGAAGCCGCACCGCATATGGCGGGTTCGGCTCACGCACCCCGGCCTGGAACGCAGCGCCCGGACTCCCTACGGCGGTTCCGGCTCCGGCTCCGGCTCCGGACAGAGTGATTTCGACGCCTTCGCAGCCGGCTCCAGAACCCCGGCCTGGAACGCAAACTCCGGCAGTCGCACCCCAGCCTGGTCAGGAGCTACGGCAAGCAACGGCAGCAAAGACTCCCGTGGCTACGACGCCCCCACTCCAGGCGGAGCCTATTCTGCACCCACCAGGCGCATATGGCAGTGCTCCAACTCCCGGTGTCTCAGCGCCCACGCCTGGAGCCTGGGCCGACAGTGCGCCGACCCCAGGAGCATT